CTGTTCTCTAACAAGGTAGCACAGCAGTTATTTGTGCCATTGCCCAGCTGAGGGACACTCACATTTCTTCTGCTGTTCCCGGATGTTCTCCCTCCACTCTGCCCTTTCATAGTCCGATGAAATGAGGAAGGTGTAACTCTACCAAGGAAAACAGAAGAAAAGAGGATATGCATTAGTCTGACCCACTATCGAGGGCAGGCCTGCCTCCCACACCTTCTCCAGGGGGAGTTCTTGTACGCACTGCCCTTCTAGTATTGTTGCCTGTTAGCCTACATCACAGCTTTGTCAGCGACAAGCAGGGCTCCGGCAGTGTGCCCTTCCCAGCAATGAGCCTATGGTACCAGTACAGGCTCCTGCAGTCAGAGCCTTCACCCTGCAAACAGCACCTGGGTGCCTGGCAGCCTGAGCTCCCGCGACAGCTCCACGCTGCTCCTCCCTCACAACAGTTGCACCAGGAAACCCAAAAGCCTTTACCACACGCTGAGACACTGCTGCGAGCTGAGGAAGCAGAAGCCAACCTGCGCGTTTACACTGACTACTGACCAGATCCTGGGAGAATCCTTTGCCAAGAGCATGCAAAGGCCACAGCGAGCAGTTACAGTGCCCCCAGAGTAGGGGGTACTGCTGGCACAGGAAGCATCCCACAAAGCTAAAGGAGATTCCTCACAACCATTCAGCAGCCCTGGTGCCAGATGCAGCTTGCAGTCTGGAGGAGAGAGCCCTGAGTGCGCAAAGCCTTGAACTTGAAGGCGAGACGAGAGTCGCTGCAGAGCTTTATCTTAGGTGAAGAAAGCAGTTTTCTATTGCTCTGCCAGGGCAGCTCCAAGCACAGACAGGTGCTGAGGTAGGGGATTTATTTCTAACTTTATTTTTTAAATGCCAATGTCACACGCAAATTAGTCACAGCATTGCAAGACGTCACCATAGCCTTCGGTGTAAGCAAAGGTTTGGTGTCTGCTGCTTGGAAACTGCTTTCAGGACAGATACTGCAGGACAAGAAAGACACGTGAAGATCTCACTGTGCAACAGCGTATACAAACGCACCCACCCACATTTTGAGCTCTTGTCTTGTAGCACACAAGGTCCATGGGAGACCAGAAGAGCCACTCACCTTGCCATTGCGATTGTGCACCCGGAAAGCCATGTTGGGAGACATCAGCAGCAGGAGGGATTCCTGCTCCGAGAGCTTCTTTTTCAACCTCTCAATGACCTTGCTGCCTTTATTGGCCCTCTGGAGGGAGGAAGAGAGAGGGCACGTAAATCATTCTCCAACCTCTGCCCCCATTTACACTGACACAGATTTTCAGACCAATAATCTCTTCCCTCTGAGTAGCCAAATGGCTGTAGGCAGCAGAAATGCTGTCAGCAGGATCTACAGGGCTCTGAGCTGCCCAGGGAGATGGTACTTTGTAGCCCAAACAATATCTGTGCACTCAGACTTGGCTCTGTGCCCCAGTTCTAGCCCTCCCAGATGAAGGTTGCTGCAAAGGTACATGCTCACTCCCCAAGCTGTATCCACTTTTTCATTCCAGAGGCTAAGGCATCATGTCACTGGGCAGCCGCAGCACTGCCAGGTGCCCGAGCATCCTTAGCTGAGGAGATTGTGAGCCCAGAACTCTGGAGACAGAGCACTCTCCCATCCACCACCCACCAACACATTTTCAGCAAAGGTTACCTAAATACAAGGTCTTTCCTTGGATAAAACCCAATCCCAAAGACAGTCACATACACTGTCTGGCGCTGATGCATCAAAGCCTGTATCTTAGACATCTGCACCCATGTGAGTAAGAGGCTTCCACACGGTATTCCTCCTAATATCTTACTTTTCCAGGAAATCCTCTCTGAAAGCCAGCCAGGGCAGAGAGAGAAGCATGTTCTTTGCAACTGCGGGGGATAGTTTTCTCATGGTACCTGCAACGTTATTCATATCCTGCTCTACACACCAGCAGGCTTTCAGATTTCAAACCCTTGTTTCTCTTTTGGGTGGCACGATAGTTCGGAGTGTAACGGCCCTGAGAAAATGTGTCTTGCAAGCAAAGAGAAGCCCAGGCCAGGGACACCACACCTTTATTAGACTGTCCAGTCAGAATACTTGGTGTTCTCCATACCTCTGCTGGAGCATTGACACCAGTGAGGTCAGAAATGCTGGAAAGGCATAACTGACCCAGCAAAAATTCACAAGTACTTTGTTTCTGACCAGAATCACTTGCAGGATCATACTTAAGACAGCCAGAAGCCAGACTCCCAAAAAATTGGCATGCCACACTACTAGCCCTTCTCATGTCCACAGCTTAAGAGCCCCATCCCCTACGGATGTTCTGGCATAGCACTGCCACAAATGGTCTCACACAAGGAGAAGAGCTGCTGGGTACAACTACATGGTCTTTTATTGTTCCTGCCTGCCCACAGGACCTCATCATACAAGCAGTGCAGTGGGACAAGTAACGATGGATTGCACAGCTGTCTATATGCCACTCATACCACAGTTGCACCACAAGCCTCTGCTGAATGGTCCGTCTTAGCAGGATTCTCCAGGCTACTCAGCTCTGGGAATGCTGTTTCTACCAACACCTCATCTCAGCAAAGACTGTTTTGAACTGAGCCTGTTCTGCACTTGGGACAGTGAGTGCTCAACCCATTTTACCTTTTCTCGTTGGATGTCATTCTTGATCTGGGATATCTTGATCTTCATGGCATCCAGCTCCTCATCAGGTACCAGTGGGATATTGGGCACTGCCTCAGACTCATCCACCATTTGGAAGCTAAGGTCAGTGAGTGGGATGTACCATTTGCAGTCGTACTGCTGGCTTTTCCTGAAAGACAAAAGGTCTATCCCTTTAATATTACTGGTGCTCAGAAAGGCTCACTCTTCCTTCCCATGAGTCCTTCCTCACTACAGTTCACAAGGTACAGAAAATGGGCACAACCTCACTGTGACTCCTATGTGAAGAAGTCTGGTAAAGGGCTGTTTTCCAGTAAGAAAGCCTGGAAGGGCCAATAGCCAGTGCACCACACAAGAATGCAAGTTGTTACCTGTTTTTTTTATCCTAAAAAAAATCACACGTATCTTTCAGAACCCCTTTCAGTCCAGCCCTTTCTTTATTTGAAGACCAGTCATGCCGTGCCTCTGACTGGCTGCTACCTGAGAATCTAAACCTAGATGTCTCCTGCTATAGCTAGGCGGACTGGGACAGATGAGCTAACGCATAAACCTCTGTGTAATCTAAGCAGAAGAGACAGACAGTAACTAAAGCTAACGATTGCTGTTCTCCAGTGCTTTCACCAGGCTAATCAGTTTTCCTTTTTTTATCTTTTCATGTAGTTTCTTCCCTCTCCATCTCTCTTATCAGGAACATCCACTCTTGGGTGCGGCCCATTCTTCTGAAGGTTCCTTCTCCACAAACAAGTGCTTCAAAAGGAACATGGACACCTCTCTGCTTGAGGAGGAGAAGAGGAGGAGAGAAGTCTTCTAAAGGAGAATATTCACAAAATAAAGAGAAGCTCTGTCTATTTAGGGCAGATAGGTTGGTAAAGTTTCCTCCTCCCTCAGTTCTGACAAATGTTAATGAAACTGCTTGTATAGCTGCACTTTGGGGCAGGTGGGAAACACAGTCCCTTTACTGCACCTGATCCATTTTACTGCAAAACTTAACTGGCTGTAGCTGCAAGGCCAAAATGAATAACTGCAGTAACAAAAGGAAAAGGGAGTTAGAAAACATGAACAGCATTTTTTCAGAATACTGGGGGCTACAGCATATCCTTTTTTCCTAGGAAGGTTATTGGAAAAAGAAAAAAGGGAGGAAAAAAAGCACCTTTCCTGACGGATCAGGACTTGGCCAAGGTCTCATATGATTGGCAACGCTACCTTGCTGAACGTATCCTGTCTGACTATGTCTTGTGGACTGTGGTTACTCAGGTCTGGAGTATTCATATTCAACTATCATTGCTGGTTGAACCCAGCACTCTGCTGAAGCTGAGGGGCAAAACATGCAGCCCAGAAGGGAAACCTCACCCTCCAATCTGCTTCTTGAGCTTGGCACAAAGGAACAGATCGGTGAAAAGAAAGACATGACGTAGTTTGCGAGCCCCCTCAACCAGCTCCACCATGAAACTGTCCTTCAGGAGCTGCCGGTGCTGGTGAAAAACAGAAAAGATATTTTAGTTAGTGCAGGATAGGTCCCAGACAAGGCACTGAGCCTCCCTCAGCAACACATTCCTCAGATGTAACTCCTGTGAGAGTTCATTCAGTAAAATGCTCCAATTCAGAAGAGCTGCTGTTAAACAGTCATTGCTGCCATCTCTGCTCCCTGCTGCTCTCCCAGGAGCAGATATGGTCAGGCAGCTCCTCTTTCACCTCCTGCTAGGTCAGACCTGAGGCCTCTTGATCACCTGTACCTGCGCCCAAGCTTAGTTTATGGCAAGTCATTGCCCAGCCTCTTATCGTAGCCAAGGGCCAGCATTATTCCCCTGCAAACCAGCAGGGAGCAGCAAACACCACTTTTCTACCGAGGCTTTTCCCCTCTCTGGAGTCACTCACCCAGCTGCTGAATGGAGCGCAAGCTAACCCACCACTGAGAAAGAGCCCACCACCAGCACCTCCATGGCCCCTTTCCAACAGCAGCTGTTAAGGGATGATTCCCGAATAAAATGTGTATCTAGCAAACTTACCAGTAGTCCCTCATCAGCCTGTGTTTAAATAGGACCATCTGGATATGCTCCCCCCTTTCAAAAGCCCATATTTCATGTAAAACTTCCCCAAACCTAGAAGATGCAAAGAAGCTGCATGGCTGTGATGTGTTTTTTTTCCTGTTTCTAGTTCCAGGTAGCTTTGCAACCTCCTAAATAAGCACAACAGTAGAGGGCAGAAGAATCTCTTTCCCAGTTCCCTTAGGATCAACTCCATAGCTACCAGACGTAAAGACTGGAGTGCTGGCCCGGAGGGGAACGGCTGCATGCTGTTAGGAGCCAGGCAGGAGCTTCAAGCCCAGTTCTGTGCTCAGGCCTCCTGTCCCGATGTCAGGATTAACAGGAGCCAGAGTGCACATCCAGATGAACAAGAACGTCCCACTGATTTCCAGAACAGAAGTAAGGGATATTCAACTCTGGACAAATTTAATTCCTACAAATACGTACAACTGTCAGCGCTGCCTCACTTCAGGGCTGGTAAAAGCAGGCACCATCAGCTTCTCCCCCAAGTCTGCTAATGCACCTTCTCTTGGCCCATAGCATTTCCTTGCTATTCCAGCTCTGAGGATGCTCTCCCCTGATACCAGTGAGGGACACTTTACACGTACGGTACGTGCCTAGATAGCACCATGGCTGGCTGCTCGTGCTGTCCGGTGCTAGGCAGTATCTCCCCCTGCTGTTTTACTGCCAGCTTTCTCCAGGCCTGTGCACAGGACTTGCCAGTGACACTTACTCCCGACCTGCAGCATCTCTGCTGTTGCCACGCTGGGAAACACAGACACAAAATCCCCCTTTGCAGGAGGCAGCTGTGCTCAGCTGTGCAGCAGTATGCAACAGGAAAGCAGTTAACCCGGGCAAGGTCAGGACATCCAAACCAGAATTCATGCCTCTCTCTCCCCAAGTTATGCCCCATGGGTTTTACTTGCTGCATGACTTAACAAGCTCCGAACACGTTTACTGTGGAGGGCATGGGAGCGCGATCCCCCACACTGCCTCTCCTTCCTTCTCCCACTCCTCCCACCTCCGCTCTCCAAAAGGAAAACAAACCACATCAGCCCTGAGCCCAGCAGGCATCACAGCAGGGAACACGAGGGAGAGAAACATCCTTAAGGCTAATTCCTGTTTCCACACTCCATCCTACAGCACCCTAAACTTCCTGACATGGGCCAAGAGCCTGCATTCTCCTGTCTGCAGCTGCACTAACACCACAGCTGGCTGCTACGGCACTGACAGCAGCGTCAGCATCTTGTCTCGGGGCTGCCGACCATTACACAACGGTCCTGCAAACCTGTGAGGAGAAGCAGCAGCAAAAGCTGCACCCTTTCTGCAGCGCCAGGAAGTCAGGCTGCTCCCTAGCAGGCTGTCACACAGTCTCTGGGCAGGAGTCTCTGCAGCTCTGGTATCCAGCAGTGATTCAGGCTCTGAAAGGCCTGTACATATGTCAATGTTTATTTTTAGGTGGGTGTGATCCTCTTGGCTTCTCCTCAGTGGTTTTGGAGAGAACGCCCGCCTGCATGAATGTCCCTGCTGCTGATGTGCACTTGTGCGTGCCTCCCCCCTCCTGCCCGGAGAACAGCTCTCAGGTAGGCAGGCAACTAGAACCATCCATCTTGAAAGTTAAATAAATAAAAAGGAGGAGGTGTCATGTCAGTAGTGAAACACTCTCCACAGCTGCAAAGAATTTCATTTGGGAGAAATAATGAAGCAGG